TCCCTACAGAATAGGTATGTAGTGGGAAGTAGAGCTGAAACCCTCCTGAAGCAGAGAACTCACCAACAGAGCCATCACGGAGACTTCCAGTGAAAGAGTGACTGTGGCTGACCAGGCAGATTCAGTCCACCATATGGGCATCTCATAAAACTGCAAAGTTCTTCAGGTAGCTCCTCAGCATAATGACAGCCCCATTACGGCCATCTGAATTTGGAACATTTTGGAATTTCCAGGCCCAGTTATCCACCCAAGCTCCAAAACGGAGTAAGATGTGGGTATACACTATGTGCCATGATTTCCACATTGGATAGATGCAAGCCAGATGCTGTTAACTGAATGTTCCCCACGAGGTTTAGTCATCAGAAAAGAAGTGGGCACACCATAGTTTGTCCTGGAGAAATGCACTGCTTTCTGGTTTTGAGAAGCTTATTCACATCACCCTCAGCTCAGTCTTGGTTTCATAGAACTTTTTCAATTGTCCCAACAAGATGCATCATAAATTAAATTTAGAGCCTCTGTGCCCTTTCAGCCAAAGAGAAATGAAGAGTTTTCTCTGCCTTTTGTTCAAGGATCTCAGCTGTCTGACTCCAGCTCACTGGAAACTCCCTGTAATAACTCTGGCCTCAGAGCTACAATATAAGCTTTGCTGGGACCCACTTCTTTTCACTGAGTACTGCATTATAAACTCTGACTCCTTCCCTACAACTGGTACTGGGGAAAAAGATGCCATGAACTGACTTTCTTATATAGCCTGCATGGATGCATGGATGCCACATTGTCTGTAAGGCAGAGCTCATATTTCAAAGCATTTTGTTCTGAAATGTCTAAATGTTAACTTTCTTATTAGGAAGGACTAATCAGAAGTGAGGTACTATGGTGTTTTCCAGTAGAAAGAGCAATAGTGTGCTAGAGGATACGAAACAGATGATAGATAGAATGGCAAGGATCATGCATGATATCTGCATAAGAAACCATAGTACCAAAAGCCAGGAATCATGAACTAGGACTGAATGAAGGGTGTCAACAATCCACTGTAAAATTTATATATGTGTACACTTGAGAGTTCATTATATGCAGGCAGAACATGTAAAGAAAGGGTTCAGGGTCAGGATGGTTTATAGCCCACATGCTGTGAGAGGATTTATCTCTCTCATAGGAAGAAGAGAAATGTCAGTAAAAATAAGTATGACATGGTTGCTTGGGAGGACCATCTACATTGCTGTTTATAACAAAACTATCATAGGAAAGAACAGGGGCTGTAGGAATGTGATGTGCCTCTGGAGAAATCTGATTCATTTTCTTCTCCTTGAATGTCAGTTCTTCCATCCTTTGTTGTACTGGGACAGCTGAAGCAGTGGGTGGTGAAGTCAAGGGGAGGTTTTTCAAAGGAGAGTCTTTTTCTTCAAAGCATTGTGCCCAGTCACGCTGATTCCAGCTTCTCTAGCCACAGCTGCAACTGAAGGAAGGCCAGGATGCTTACATGGGATTTGCTGGTACTTCAGCTCTGCTGTGAATCAGACAGAGCTCTTCTACTATTCAGAGTTCAGCACGTTTTTATTTTCTGTCATTTTGACATATCCCAGGTATGCAGCATTCTCTTTAGCTATTATTACAGTTATCTCCTACACTCAAAAATCTAAAATAATAGCATGTG